CTTTTTTCCAATAATTTAATGGGTAGAACCAAAAATTTCTCTTATCAAAATAATAAATAACACTCTTTTTACCTATTCTGACCAAATAACAATAAAACAAGTGAATAAACATTCACATTCCGCTAATGTGGCATTCGTCAATGGCCAAGTTTATCTATTTTTTCATAATTTTCAATTTTGTTCTTCATTTTATGTTTAAAAATAAGTATAAAAAAACATTATCTTCCCATGAGCCTTCATAACATTCATTTCAACCAAAAGTAATGATACAATAACTATAAATATACAATAACTAAAAAGGTAACGCTAATTTTGTTTAATTTGATTTGATTAAGTTACTACTAAATCGATAGTAACTAAAATTAACCCAATTGATTTAATTATAGTGTTATCTTAAAAAGGAATGTGAATTTTTCTTAATTTAATTTAATTAATTTTAATTTGATTATGTTATTGCTAAAACGACAGTCACTAAAATTAACCAAAAATATAATGTTAATTTGATCATAGCATTAACATAAAAAGGAAAGTAAATTTTAATTAATTAAATTAAATTAAATTACTACTAAATTGGAGGTAACTAAAATTAACCAAAAAGGAACGTTAATTTGATTAGCTGTAAGTTTTCTTATACTAAAATGACTGAAAAATAGCACTAATTAAGCGATTCATTTTTTTCTTAATTGTGAAATTAATGATTATAATTTATTTATTCAAATCATAATTCTTCCTTTCCGTTTATTTTCATCAAAAGTATCTTTATTTTAAATTGTAATTACAATGGCTTTTAGTATGTATTAATTTTTGAAAAATTATATTTTATTTAACTTTGATTCTCATATTTTATATTTTTTTTTACTATATATAGATTGGGAGTGTATTTTCTTTTTTCATATAGTAGTTTGCTTATATATATTTTTTTCAGAGTTGATCATTATTGATAGACATTATTTGATGATAAGGAATAAGATTTAAAGTATGGTGAATGTGATTTCTTTCAAGACAAATGGGAATTGATTTATAATTTTTTCACTCTTCACATATGAAATTCAGATGTTACTAATTATATTATTTTTGGTATGTTCAATCTCTTATTTGACTTCATGATCACCTTAATTCTAATAATGTATAATAAAATTATTTATGTTGAAGTGTTTTTAATAATAGAATGTATGTGGCAAGTGGATTAACTAACGTGGAATACAAAGTTATTCCTGAGAAAACTTGTGGAAGAAAACTAGGAATTCACGTGCAAGTAGGAGTTGTAAATTTTATCTCTTAAGAAACTTGATTCCCCTAAGAAACTTGATTCTTTCTTTTTCGGTTTCGTTCCGCTTTTTCATGGTCTACAAACAATAATTATAACACAAGAATAATCAATAAAGGATAACTAATTACCCGAATTATCAACAATTCTATCAATCCTAGATCAAATCCGTGATCCCAATATTTAAATTAGGAATTTTTCCATCATAATTTCCAAATCAAAACTCGCCCCTTTCGATAATTAGCCATGAAACGAGATTCTGCGGATCGATAAACAAATTCAGAGAGTAAAATTCTTATCTTTATAGATGAAAAACTGTCAAGAAGACTCTTGGGTTCGCTCCTTAGCTCTCAAGTTCAAAATTGCAGAACAAAACGCTTTTGAAGTTTATTTCCAACTTTAAGTCATGTTTGTCCCACCACAATGGTCTCACCCCGCTTATATCGGCCCGCCCTGGGGGGAAATCCCGCCTAAGCGGCTTGCACAAAACTAAAGAGGAAATTTAATAATTTCAATTCCCCCATTTCACAACAAACCTTCAACTAACAACACTCAAAAACTATCTGTTCACGCCAGGATCATTTTCGGAAGTTCTACTCACCCGATTTTATTTCTGTAAAATCGTACGAGTTTCTTAACGTCTTCGTTATCTACTCTTGTAATTAAAATTATAATTAAATCACTCAATTACTACCAGATTTCCCTAGAACTCACTGACTCCGATTTTATTTGAATCTGGACTACGTTAAAAAATTTCAAGTTACTATAAAAAAGTTTTTCTATCCAAAAATTTTCCCCATTGCTTTTCTATAACGACGGAAATCAAGTCGTTACAAAATTATTGAATGAATAAAGCTTAAAAGTTATAAATATTGAGAATGTTTTGGCAAAATTTGATGTCTAACACTTATTATAACATAAGGATATTTTTTTAAAAAATTCCACTTTAAAATACTAAAAAAAATGTGAAAAATAATTCTAATTTGTCATTCATAGTTAAATACACCTCTAATGTTTAATATTTTTTACTTTAAAAACAAATAAAGTTTTTTAATTTTTTTACAATTAAACGTTTTCAAACGATTACTTTACATGTAAATGAATCGTTGAAGATAATCCCAAATATTAAATTTCAAGCCCAAAATCGGTTAGATCCAAAATGAAAAAACAAAAAACAAAACCAAATAGGACAAATGTACGAAGCTTTAATTATTTGTCTCTTTTAAAAATTGTCGTAAAAACATAAGGACCAGAAGAGGACAATTCTCTAATCTATTTTGGCTGATGCATAATTTTCTTCATATAAGATTTGATTATATGGATATTAATAATTCATTTTGAGCAAAAATACTATTTTTCAAAAAATTAGTGTTTGTGAGTTCTCAATAGCAATTTCTTGAAAATTATGTCCAAAAAGGTTTCTTTTTCTCAGAGAAAAACTACAAAAGGAAAAGTTTTTTTTTAAAAAAAAAAAATGGTCAAATGACCATAGTACTTCAATAATCCCTATATTTTAAGTACGGCAATATATGAAAAAAAATCAATATTTTTGAAGAAAAAAAAGTGATGTGTAGTCTCGATATGTTAAGTAATACAATACAAACTGGTTCAAATAAAATTTTACAATATGTAACAGAAACCTATAAAGGCGTCCTGTTTTACCTAGACCCTAGTCATGGTGGGTCATTTGTTGAATAGTATTTTACTACTAAAGTGAATCACTTTGGGTCGTGAGTCGTGATATTTAACAGAGGCGGACTCGTACGTGTATCTGTTAATTTTGAGAAAAAATTATGTGTATATATATTTATTTATTTTGGAAAATGGACTAAAATTAGAAAATAATTAATAGTGCACCATAAGTAACATAAAAGTGATGTTGTAGCCACTCTGACTTGCGTTTTAATCCAGCTAGATCCTTATTTCCATTAGTTTGATTCCAAGTTTAACTTTAAAGCTTAAATTTTAGTTAAGTGAATATTGGTGTATTCGAAATCTTTAATTTTTGGGCTCGACTCTGATTTGAAGTGCGATTGTTTGCAATAAATTTAAACATAAGAGAAATAAATCAACTACACAAATAAAATCAGAAGAAACACAATTTTATTCATCAAGATTGTGGGTACAATTCTGTTAATTTATTGATCCTTTTCTAATAGGATATTTATCCATGAGTCGAGGGTCGTTAAGGATCGTAGTGACGTATTTCTCAAACTATGATAATTTAGACTTGATCTACATAATTCGAGAGTCGTTAGAGAAATATAAGATGATTTGAATTTAATCTATTTATGAATATTTCATGAGTTTGTGGAATAATTGAGATATTCTAAATGCCTTTTCAAGGGAAATATAGTACAATTTATATAAATATAAACTAGAATTTAGGATTGAATAGCCTCAAAAAATTCTAATTAAAATTTAACATATAAAATTTAACTCAAATTAAATACGTCTTATAATATCTTATAAAATTTTAATGTCTACTCCAACATGAGAAAAATGATCTCTTTCGATCATAAATGCAGTGATATAATCAAAAAAATTTAGACCAACCGTTATAAATTGTGGCCCCTCTCCAGTATAAGCTTATTGCATACATTCTCTTTTCTCTTACTTTAGGAGAAGGAATTAATGGAGGTCAAAATAATAGTAGTAATAAGTTGACTGTGGTTGTGTTCTGGTCAAATCTTTGATAAATCATCCATGTTACCTTTAATGATTTGCCCAGAAACTACCATGATATGTTTAATTATTGTATTTCTTGTTGGTACATAATCAAATTATATCGTGTAAAATTACGAGTACAAAATTTTTTAAACAAACAAATAAGGAAAAATTTTAAATTGGTTTATTCTCTCTATTTAATAATACTTGTTCACTATATTATTTTAAAATATTTAATAATATTTGTCTACTTTAAAAAATTAATCTATAATTTTACAAGTAATTTCTTATTTATCCTTATTAATTATAGTTATTTATCTATTATATTTTCAAGACATTATACTTATTATATTTAAAGGTTGATATACTAAAATTATCCTTCTATTTATAATTTTCTTGAGAGGTGTGTCAAATCAATAGTATTGAACAATTATTATTGGACTCCCTGTTACCTCTCAGTTTTTTCTTTTTTGGTTATCCCTAATTACTTATTCATTTTAACAAATTAAGAAAAGACAATTTTTTTACCTATTATATCCTCAATTAATTATTTTGAAAAAAGATAAACTTCTTAAAATCTTAAGTTTTTTAATTCATCCACTTCATAATTAATAGAGCTAAAATGATAAATTCAATATGTCAATAATTATTTTTTAATAAGTGAATTTAGTGGCGGAGCCAAGATTTTCAATAAGGGGGTTCAAGATCTGGAAAAAAAAATAAACATATAAAGTGGCCGAAGGAGGTTCGACGTTTATTATATATATCTAAATAATATTTTAATCATATATAAATAATATAATTTTTTTTCGAATTCCAATAAACTTCCTCATTATAAGATAGCTCCTCTATTGAGTCTGTCAATTGAAAAATGAACAAATAATTAAAAACGGAGCAAAATACAATTATGTGTCGCCCTCGAGATAAATTGAAGAAGAGAGCATTTATTTCTGAACAACCAACCAAGCATCATATCACATAGAAATATGTCACTATTAAGCAAAGGGCACACCCTGTATGCCCCACTCTAATTTATGAGTGAATTATTTGTTGTGTATTTAATGGCCTGTCTCTTAACATTCAATAAGGCTTCAAGAGTTGAAGTGTTTGCTATTCATGGCTTCATTCACTAAATATTCAAGTCAAGAGCTAAGAGTTGTAGTAATTGCTAGTGGACTCTTGATCATTGCCTTTTTATATCATGTTCCAATTACAGGTCAGTAGTATTTCATTATGTGAAATAAATGATACTTAATTAATTATTCCTTTCTGCCATCTCATCCTCATCCCATAAATACTAATAACAGAAAATATCCACCCTTTTAATTAATGAAATTATTGTTTCCTCTTCCTTGTAGTTATAAAATTTAACTATCATAAATATATATGATTAATAGAGTAGTATAAATTCTTATAATACTTTAAATATGCATATTAAAGTTATTTTTTAAAAAAATGATGCCATCATTATTTTCCTCTTCTCATGCTTTACTCATAAAAATGAAGCAGAAAGAGAAGAAGATTAGTCTCTACAAGTTGCATAAATTATTCGCCGTATCTAAGTATAATTGATACTCTTTTAACATTTTGCATTTAACGAAAAGGATTATAAATACATAAATATTTATAATTTATTTTAGATCCTATAATTACTGGGAAGTACTTTCTTATCAATTAAAATTTTGTGCTCGACTCCGCGAAGAGGCCGGGTAATAATAAATTTCTTACTTTGGATCTTTAAATGGTGAGTTGATCAATGAGAGATATTGATGTACGGCCCAACCCGGTAAAGGAGGAGTTAGGTGGGGGTTCATGGGTTCGGACGAACCCGCTAGCTATTTTATAGATTCTATATTTGTCTTAGAAAATTAAATAAATGTATGCATATTAACATGTGATTTGTGAACACCAAATAAAATTAATTTATAACCCTCAAACTCCTAATCTTGGCTTCACCTCTGCGTACAGGTGGTGTTGAGGTGCCAAATTGGGGAAAGGGAGCAACTGGAGTGAAGGTAGGATCAAGGCCACCAAGGTGTAGTGTTGATAAATGCTTGAACTGCAGCCCTTGCATGGCTACCCTAATTGCACCAATTCACCAAGGAAAACACAAAGCTTCTGCTGCTTCTTCTCAACATGATACTTATTATCTTCTTGCATGGAAATGCAAATGTGGTAACAAGCTTTACCACCCATGATTACTCTACTAGTATATATGTTTGTAATTTTATACCTGAAAGATATCGTCTATACCTTCTTTCTCAAAACAAAAACAAAAAGAAAATGATGTATGCTTGTCTAATATATCTCTATATATTGTTGTATACTTATTAGTTTGTTATGATGTATTTATGAAACATGAGATTTTCTCTTATGATCAATTTAATTTTCAAGTCCGTGTCCACTTTTTTCATTTAATTAAGAATATTCTTATGTACTTGTATATAAGATAAAATTTGGGCTTTAAAACAAACATTTATATTAAATTATTTGTATCAACTAAAATTCAATTTTTTTTAAAAAATAAATTTTAAATTTTTATTCAAATATAACTGAATGTGTTTGTCCATTAGAGATATATCGGTTTTGAAAAAGGTGTGATTTTTTTGTAATAATCGGGTTTAGTTGTTATAGAAAATCCAACGGGAAAAATTTTGGACCGGAATTTTTTTTGGTAGTAACTTGAAATTTCCCATCCTAGTGCAAATTTGGACGAAATCGGAGTCTTTAAAATCTAGGGAAATCTAGAACAATTGGATGATCATTATGAATTTGATCACATGAGTAAATAGTAAGGCGTTGAGGAACCCGTATAACTTTACATATAATTGGCTAAGGTGTGGTGAAAGAGATAGAGAGGTTGCATGGGGTGCCCCTTTCTATTATCTCAGACCATGATATCCAATTTACATCCAAGTTTTGGAGGAAGTAACACGATGAATTGGGCACACAACTTACTTTTAGTTCAACCTTTCATTTGCGGACGGATGAACAGTCGCAGAGGACTATTCAAGCGTTAGAAGACATGTTGAGGGTATGTGCAATTGACTTTGGAGGACATTGGGATAATTTATTATCCTTGTGTCATTTTTTTATGTTAATAATTATCACTCTAGCATTGATATGACTCCATTTGTGGCACTCTATGGGACAGGATGTAGATCACCCATAGGTTGGTTTGAGGCTGGAGATGTAAAATCTTTGGGGGTGAACTTAGTAAAGGATGTTCAAGAATAGGTAAGGAATATTCAAGATAAGCTTCTAGCAGCCCAGAATAAATAGAAGAAGTATGTGGATCATAAGGTAAGAGATGCCATTTCATACTTGTAAAAATGTTCTTCTTAATGTACCACCCATGAAAGGGGTGATGAGAGATTTGGCAAGGAGGGCAAACTAAGTCCGCGATACATTGGTCCCTTTGAGATTCTTGAATGAGTGGGGTCCATGACTTGTAGATTGACTTTACCTCCTAACTTATCGGGAATTCATCGGTATTTCATGTTTCCATATTGAAGAGATATCATGGCGACAAATATTATATCATTAAGTGGTACTCGATTGTATTAGACAAAGACCTCTAATATGACGAGGAACTAATTGCAATTCTTGGTCGTGATGTGCATAAACTGAGGACCAAGGAGATTAAGTCCGTGATAGCTCAATGGAAGCATCATCCATTTGAGGAAGCCACTTGGGAAACTGAGAAGGACATGCAAAACAAGTATCCCCAATTGTTCGTGGATTCATGTACTACTCTATTCTTACTTTAGACCTTTTTTCTAGTTTTACTCGAGGACGAGTGAGGGGTAAATTGGTATCTATTGTAACGATTAGGTTCTGTCGTTAGAAAAGTCAAACGGGAAAAATTTTGGGTTCGAAAATTCTTTTGGTAGTAACTTGAAATTTCTCAACCTACTTCAGATTTGGACGAAATAGGAGTTTTAAATTCTAGGGAAATATGGTAACAATTGGATGATCTAGTTATAGATTCAATCACATGAGTAGATAGTTAAGGCGTTAACGAACGCGTACAATTTGATGAAATTGAATTCTGTGAGTAGAACTCCTGAAACTGATGATAGCACGAACGAGTAGTTTCTGAGTGTTGTTGGTTAAATGTATGTTTGGAAATGGGGATTTGAAACTCAAAATTTGATGTTATGTTTTCGTGCAAGCCGTTATGACAGGATTATTATTGCTAGGGTGGGATGTTGTAGTGGGTGAGGTACGCCGTGGCGGGACATACACAACTTAAAGTCATAAATAAACTCCAAATTTTTTTTGGGTAATTAGTGATCATTTATTGATCCCGTTTCATTACGATTGTTAGTAGACCAAGAACAAGCGGAGCGGATACGGAAAGGGAAGAATCAAGTTTCTTAGGGGATTCAAGCTTTTTTCGAGGTAGGTGATGTTGTGATTTCATGATTGTGTAATATATGTTTCTTCTTTCTTCATTATGATGCATGTATGTATGTGAATGTTGCGTTATTGATTACATTAATGTAAATGAGTATGAATGAATAACTATATGTCATGAATAATTTCTTGATTGTATTATTATTTAGAATATATTTGTGATTGTGGTATGTTGAATGGATCGATTGCCACGTACCCGCATAATAATTGGGATTGATTGTTATATTCCGACATAATATGAGATAGGTTGCCACATTCTGGCATGAACATTGAATCAGGTATCACGATCCGGTACACTAACACTTTGTTTTTGAACTCCATGAGAGGACCAATGACTTGATATATAAATGCATATTGTTGAGAATATGATAATCGATATTGTATATGTTTGGTATATTGCATGTTTATGATGTTGTATTTACTTAGATATGTTGCGCTTAGTAGGATAGCCGTGTGATTACCAGCACACGCTGGTTGTGTATTGATATTCCACTTACTCTTAATTTTGATGAGTACAAGACATCTTCAAGAAGCTATTGACAAATCTCGCTTCGAAGATCAGTGACCGTTTCGAATTCAAGGGTGAGTTAGTTCTTTCGGACTGCCTTGGGTCCTTTTCTTTCTCAGTCTATTTCATTCGAACTTAGTTAGTTATTAGTGCATTACTTTGGGGTTGTAACCCTTCTTGTTTAGACTTATGAATCTTGTTAGAATTTTTATATATTGACTTTCAGGTTATACGTTATTTTTTTTGCATTGTTTAGTTGAGTTGTTAGATCATTTGAAAGTTTATGGCAACATCATTATTTAGTTATTTAAACATTCTTTCATGGATTTAAAATTGTTTAGTTGGTGAGTAGTTATGGTTCTCCTACAGGGAGGTTAGCCACTCACGACGGTCTGGATTGTGACATTTTTCTCCATAAATTACAATATTTTCTCTGCGATCACCCATTTTTGGAAAACCATTTTTGGGGGCTTCCGCCTTACACACGGAAGATTGGATTGCCTGAATCACGCTATAGTCCTGGGTGTCTTCCAGTGGTCTTCTAGCCTTAGAAGAAGTTGTATTAACATTAGAAAAATTCTGCTAGTATCTTTTAATGACTGGTTGTATAATGATGAAGATCATCACAGTTTTCCCTTACTTTATAATATAACCAATACTCACTACTATACAAACTGCCGAAAAGCGAAGGCCAAAAGCGACGGATTGTGTCATTTTTTTTGTTAAAATCAACGGAAAAGCGACGCAGTCAAGTTTGTCGCTTTTTCAGAAAACAACAAACTGCATCACTTTTTTTTAAAAAAAATTATTGTTTGAATAATGTGATGTCGTCCGTCGCTTTTTTGTTATCTTTAATTTTTTTTGTTTTTCAAAAAGCGACACAATCCATTACTTTTTTTAATTTTGTAATTTTATAAAATCTTAAAAAGTAACGGTCAATGAGACGCCGACTATCACATTTTTTTAATTTTATTTTTTGAAAAATTCAGGAAAGCGATGCATCTCCTCACTTTTCAGGAAAATAAATTTTGAGAAATCAAAAAGGTGATGGACTAAAGGACCTTATGTCGTTTTTTTGGATTTAAAAAAAATAAATATAGAAAAGCGGCGGAAAAAACCACCGTATCCGTCGCTTTTTTTTTACTACATAAACTGATGTGTTTTTGTTGTCCTCATGCAAATTCAATTCAATTTAGTCCAATCAAACAAAACACATTATAAACATGCTATACAAAATATAAAACAACAAACTAAAATTAATTTTGAAAAATAGCTAAATCACAATTTAAAGATATATTAAGTCTTGCAAATTATAAAAAAATTCATAAACTAAAGAAATAGAAGCTAATTAGGAAGTGAAATCTATAAAATCATCTTCCTCCTCACTCCTCACTCTCGTCGTGGATATTTTATTTTATTTTTTTGTAATAGATTTTCAAACCAGTTTCTCTCTAATAAAATAATATTCCCTTTATCGTAATTTGACTCTCAAAAAGATTTTATTGAAAAAACACTTTTTGAACAAAAATAAGCCGAACACAATTTGTTTATAAAACATTTTTCAAATAATTTGCCAAATATAAATTGTTAAATTTTTCAAAAATAATTTTTTAAAAAGCTGTTTTTTTTAATAAAAAAAATACTTCTAAAACTATGCAGATTTCTAACTTACTCTAACTCTTTTGTATGATAAAAGTAGGGTTGGACCTAATCTGGTTCAAACAAAAAAATCGACCAAATTGAACATTTTTTATTTCAATTTCGTTTTTTCAATTTATTTAGTTTGTGTTGGTTTGAAAATTCAGTATTTCGGTTATTCGATTCATTTTTTTGATTTTGAAAAAAATCATTTGTTTTAACGGAAAAAACTCAATTTAATAAAACTAATTACTAGTCTCTTAGGGCTGTTTGATTTGAATACAAAAAATGATGGGATTAGTTATGATGGTATAACTTATTCTGGGATTAGTTATTCTGAGATTATTTTTATTGACTGTTACGGTTGTTGTATTTAAACTAATAACCATTGCATACTTTCTAAATTGAAGTTGTTTGTTTACAAAAATACCCTCCATCTTATTTAGATTTTTAAATAATATTTTGTGAAGTTCTAATTATTCACTTTTTTAAACAAATCAAATAAATCTCAATAGCTTAAATTTTGCATTCCACGTGAATTAACATAGACTCGTGGGAAACACCTCCTCTTTGATAAGGATAAGGTTACAAAGTCCTAGTACTTTAGTATGTTTGAGTCATATACGTAATTAGTTTCTCCTCTCTTTAGTCTCTTACTTTCAACATACTCTTTTCTCTTCTATACCTGTTCATGTATAAATAGCACACATTGTATCAATAATACTAAATGCTTTTATAATCATATACAAGTCTTATATGGTATCAAGAGCCTTCGAACACTCTTACGAGTATTTCTGATCGTCTTTCTTTTTTTCCTTCTCTAGAATTCC